AAATTCGATAAGATTTAGTATGATGAAAGAAAGACACTTCAAATTTTTTATCAAATTATGGTGAAATTTTATTAAATTAAATTTTTATTACGATTTATTTTTGAGAGATCAAAAGAGATGTCAAATAAATAAAAAAATAAAATAATAAATGCTTTAATAAAATAAAATAAAAAGAAATATATGAAATTGTTGTAAAAAAAAAATTTAATCGTAATTAAATTTTTTCTTTACGAAAATTGTAAATCTTAAATTAAAGCACTTTTAAATTAAAAACACTTACAACCTTTTTAATTAAATATTTTTAGCCATGATTTTAATCGGAATCTAAATTAAATTTATGAAATTTAAAAAAGTTTGTAGTTTACGATTATACAAAAGATCTCGATAATCGACCTTCTTGCGTTCTCTACGATATCATTTTGCGACTTGACGTTTCATATATTATATAAACATTATCACGATACTATGACAACGCATATACTATGACAAATAACACCTCAACATTATTAATAATTCTTTTCCTTATCATTGTTCCATAGGGGCAGGTTATGTTTCACGTTATCCATATCGTGCGTTTTTTACTAATTGATTGTTGCTAATTACGTCTGTTCGCTCCAGTTGCGCTTTCCGTTTCCAATCTCGTCTTTTTTCTTTTCCATCTAAAGATTAAAATATAAGTTTATGTAGTTTAAAACTTGTACGCAAAAAGTACAAGAAAGTGCATCTCAAACAAACAGATCGTTATAGACGTAATCGTTGTGAATTTGCTTATTAAATGTTGCGCACACACAAAAACGTTACGATTATAATCTTATAAGAGAATGATAAAAATGCTTAATGCTCGAAAAATCTCTTGTTTTCAGTCTCATTATACCAAGAAATATATTTTGTAGGATAAAAAGTATATATTTCTTGTATTAAGTATTATATCAATTAGACACACGAGGATGATTAAACAAAATATATTAAATAATTCGCGTACAATTGAATCAGTTATTATTAAACGCACATAATCAAGTTTTCCATTTTCATGAAATTGAGTTAATATAACATAATTTCTTGATTAATAACAATCCATGCTATATTTAAAAAAATAATTAATTGGATCATTAATTATGAGAATATTGAACTGTTTATAGGCAAATGTTATGAAAAAAGCATGATTATTATCAAATCTTCTTTGAAGTATTTTCTAATTGATAAGCACTTATTTATATCTCTGTAAACATCAAATATGGACTAAAATACAAATATACAGGATAAAATGAAGGAAAAAAAAGTTTCTTGTCATTTTCCAAAAAGCTTGTTAGCATGACTCATACATTTTCGTAATCAACTAATTCAATTGCTTTCTTCTTAATTTCTTTCCTTGAAATATCGAAATCAGCAGTATAAAATCTTTAACTTTTATGATCATAATAGCGTCTATCTTAATTTTTCTATCTTAATTTTAAAAAATGTTAATCATATCAATTTTGATGTTCTATAATCACATCTTAAATTTTTTTTAATTGTACATCAATTCTTGATATTTTTGATATCGAGTCCTATACAAGGATCCATTCATCATAAACATGATTATAGCTATTGATTTAATACGAAAAATATGTATAATCGTCAAATTTATAATAATAATAATGCACTCAAATCTCCGTATTCTTAACATATTAGGATAGAGAATATTCTCCATCAAGCCCTCAATTTAATTTCGATAGCACATGCGCAGATTAAAAATGTCGCTGCGTTTGTTGTGCTATTAGTAAATGAGGTAATGAGATATTACGTATGATATTTTTATAGACAAAACATTTATTTATCCATAATCGATAAAAATATAAATGGATTGACCGATTTCCATGCCAATAAAGCTTTGAAGAGAAAATCAAAATAAACAAAATGAGAAAATAATTGCCGTATCTCTTTCTCTCTTACTCGCGCCTGCGCGTTGACATTCGATGCTCATGATATACGCATGTATACATTCGTGCATAAATAAGAAACTATTCTTGAAATAAGAAACTATTCTTCCTATTTATAATTAATAAGAAACTATAAAATCTTTCTTCCTATGGCACCTTTCGTCTGTCATTCTAATTATGATCGAATGATCCATTCATGGTCATATGATAAAATATATGTATATAGTAGCACAGAGATAGGTGTTAAGAATACGGAGTTCATAAGTGTCATAATAAACATAGAGAAGTTAAAGATAGATATTAAGAATATGAAGATTCATAGATTTATGAATGAAATACTTAAGAGAGAACTAGGTAAATAAATTTAATTTTTATAATATTTTAAAGGTTATAAATAAGCAATATTAAAATAAATATTATGTAAATTTATATAAAAATTTTAAAGTTATCCACAGAACTGAGCGAGCAGAATTGGCAGTGTATAGTATTTAATCTGGAGATATTATCTCTGCGCTAAGACAAGCGCATATTTTAACTGTAATCTTGTAAAAGGCTATAAAAAATACATAAAGAAAAGTAATTTAAAGAGTACATTTATATCAAAACATTTAAATTATTCTTAAAATTAAGATAAATGGAACTAGTAGAAAAATGGAGATAATTATTATACTATAGTCATAAATAAACAATTAAAAAAATCTGCTGTCTAATTTCTTTCATCAAAATTTTAATATTTATTCTAAATTATATGGCAGTATTTCTGGCAATTTCTAGCATTTTATAATTATATTGATATTTGGAGCCGTTGTATAGCTGGACCCATCGTCTCGGTCAAAATTAGTTGAATATAATATAATGGACTATAATCTAAATGGTAGTATGTAATTACGCAAGCGAGATAGTTAACGAGAAACGGCAGTGTGCGCGGTATTTTTGAATGGTATTCTTATAATACACATCTTCTTTGGTATTTTTATAATACACACATTCAGTAAAACTACGCTATATACTGTACAAATACGGGAATGACGTACAGTATGTAAGAGAGCGCATTTTGAGCTCGAATTAAATTCGATCAATATGTAAAATAAAACGCTATATGCAACTTTATTATTTTTAGACTATCATTTTGGCTTATGTTGAAAAAAACAGTAAACACATAAATTATTACGAACGTAAAATGTTGCATCTCGTTATAATTGGCCCATTAAACTCTGCATAACAACACGCTTCAAATAATGGCGAACATTTTTTTATCATATTATCATGTCAAGTACACAAGAGATTTTTTAAAAATTATCAAACTTTAAAAATGACATGCAAATGCAGCCGCGTTTTGGTACTAGATTGTGATTTAACGATCCCGTCCATCGTAATGCATTATCGATGTGCGGTCACGTTCGTGCAACATTTTTAAAGTTTGGACTGTTCGGATGCTTTAAAGAGACTTCATACAATAAACGATAACTGTAAGTGCTTCGAAAAGCAGTTTTGAAGGTACGTCTCTTGTTCAGTTAATTTCCTACATAAGTGTTCACACACAAACATACACACACACACACACACACACACACACGCGCGCGCGCGCGTGCATAATCATACACTTTCTTTCACGTCCCGTTTCGTTTATGTGTACGTTTTCCATTCGCTCACTCGAGCATATCGGGATGCCAAATGGCATTTATATCGTTTTAGTTTTGAACGCTTAGCTGCTTCTACGTGAAAAAAAGTATAGCTAGCAATAGCAATGAGGCAATGAGGACGGACTGACCAGCCTGGACCGAGATCGAACCAGAGCTGAACCAGCTGGAGCCCACGCGAGGGTTTTCATGGCGGCTGGATGGCTGTTCGGAGGCCATCAAATCCTCACGCTGCGGGCATGGCAACTCTTCTACCTTCAAATCGAATAGATGCTTTATACAGCACTTCCTATCTTCACGATTGTTCTGTAAATTAAAACCAAAATGGTCTACGTAGAATCACTTAATCGATAGAAAGATTTAAACGTTTTGATTAAATGAAAGATAGATTTATAACATATGCGTGCATGTACAACAGTAGGATTAAATTAATAATGTGTAAAAAGAAGTTTTAATTACTTTTATTATATTATTTTAAGACATCTGATTCTAAATTATAGAATTTTTTCCAAACATAAATAGAACTTTGTGCTGTAGATATTTCTTTTTAATTTGACACAGTACATACAGAAATTTAAAAAATTATTTAAAAATATAAAATGTATATATATATTTCCTTATAGTTTTAATAATATATACATAATTTAAAATTTTTTATAATGCTTGTATATCGGCATATTGTTTGTATGCTTCTATATCTTCATCGTTTCTTGTAAAAATTCTAATATTTGCGTAATATAAAATAAAAAATCTGACATTAAGCTTAACTTGATATATAATAAACATCTTTTAGTGTTAATTTTAATCTCTTCTAGTGTTAATTTTTTTTCTAAGCATAAAAATATAAAAATTTAAATTACGCTTTAATAGTAATTAAGATTAGCAATTAAGATAATTAATGTAAGAAATTAATTTGATTAAGCAACTACTTTAACTAAGATTATTGCAAGAGGAATTTCAAAAAACCTGATCACATGTATCTATCATTTATATGCAATTAACAAATCGAATATCTTACCTTGCTATGAAAATTCGATGAATTATCGTCATCAGGTTCATCGAAATAACCACCGCTCTCAGCCTCATCATCCTCGTTATCATAATCTCTCGAATTATTATCGACATATTCGTCTGTAACACAATACAATAAAATTTCGTTAAAAAAAATAAGAAATGTTAAATATTATTATACTAAAGAGATCTCTCTCTCTCTCTCTCTCTCCCTCTCTCTCTCTCTCTCTCTCTCTCTCTCTCTCTCTCTCTCTGTTTTTACAATTCTATTTTTGTTTAACGTATATATCTTAATTATTATAATTAATCATGAAATATGTTTGCAATTAATAAACATCTATCAGTTTAAATATTTTCAACATTGTAAAATACACTTACAACTTATACTTATAAAACAATTTATATGTACAAAAAAAAATAATTACCCAGA